GAGGTAAGGGTGGAGTGGACGAGAGGGTGAGGGACGTGTGTGGGGAGGCTGTGGGGAGGATGACCTGAGAGTGGAGGTGAGGGCAAGTTTAGGTATTGCTGAGGTTCAGGTTGGCATGTGTGAGTGATGTCGCTGGTACAGTACAAATCACGGGTGCACAAGTTTGAGGGATTTTAATCAAATCTGAATCGAGAATCACCGCTGCCCAAGATTCGGTGTAGCTGCACCTTCACCTGCAGTGCGCTCGCGTCACCACCATCACTACCACCACCATCATCATGACCATCACCATTATCATCATCACCATCATAATCGCCATCATCATAATCACCACCATTTACGTAGAATTTATTTTGCGCTGTACGTAGCCACCGTGTTAATTGGCGGTGCGGGGGAAGGACAAAAAAACTAAAAGCAGCACTAGGCGCAAAAATACTTCTAAGCTTCCTCAAAAGTCAACATCGGCCCATCATCACCCACGTTGGCATCGAAATCTCCGTAAGTGTCAAAAGATTACCATGGTGGAACCTGGTCAAAGCTGACTGGGACCACTATAAGGAAGTTGTAGAGAGAATAGTGAGTTTAATTCCCGCAACACTGGAATGATATCACCGTTTTGTTGGCCCCCTAACTGTAGCTGCCAAGAAGACCATCCCCCGAGGCTTCCAGAAATAAGACTCTCGGCTGGACATAAGATACCCATGACCTGCTTTAACAGTACAACCAGTCGGGTATCCCACAGGTTTGAAAGACCCTGCTAGAGTCTTTAGACTCAACCAGATTACAGCGATGGACTAAATGTGTTGAAGGCCTGGACTTCACGCACTCCAGCCGCCGTGCCTGGGCCCTACTACGGCTCCTGGGTGCTGCTAATCCAACAATACCACTCCGCAAGAATTCTTCCCAACTCTATTGCCTACAAATAAGTGGAGAACACAAAAGTACCACTCGACTAAAAAAACACATCAAGCGAGATATGAATCGCGAATTACACCAGACATTGGCTTCAATTTCTTCACAAGACCGTACCGCCATCAGCACAGGGGAAGTGAGGATCTGGCTGCAATTAAGAAAGACAAGGCTGCCAGCAGAGATGGTAACCCCCCCCAGAATTCCTCCATCAGTTAGGCCCTACGGGACTCCAATGACTGGCAAAACTGTACACAAAAACTATGAATTCCGGATGCATCCCAAAAGCATGGCTGGAGGTGATGGTCATTTCCATACCCAAATCGTGCAAGCCAACCGACGACCCGGGAAACTATAGGCGGATGTCACTCCCATGCATGACCTATAAACTCCTGGAACGCATCATCCTCCGGAGAATCAGCCCCCTCGCCGAGTCAGTGATCTCTGAAGAACAAGCAGAATTCTGGCCTGGACATAGCTGCAATGACCAAATTTTGGCCCTTGCGACAGACATCGAGGCCAGATTCTGTAAGAACTCCAAGACAGGAGCAGTGTTTGTGGACCTGTCATCGATCTACAACAGTCTGGATTAAGGGCTTGATGTTGAAGCTCACAAATACCATTCCCTGTCTTGAAACAATATGCCTGATATGCACAATGCTGAGCAATAGGTGACTTGCGTATCCATATGGGGATCAAATCCAGCTCATCTTGGTTTATCAACAATGGATTTCCACAAGGTTAAGTACTTGCACCAATGCTCTTCAATATCTATACCAGTGACATGCCACCAACCGGGTCGCACAAATTTATATATTCGGATGACATTGCCCTGGCAGCCACTTTCACTGACACCGAATCTACTCTGAACCAAGACCTAAACACCATGGGGAAATATTTGCAGAAATTAAGGTTCAAGTCAAATCCTCACAAAACAAGTCACTGCATTTCATCTTGAATATAGAAGTGTCAATCACACTCTGAAAGTGACCTTCTGTAGCAACACTGTGCGACACTATCCCCACTCAAACCTATCTCGGAGTGAAGCTGGACCATATGCCAACCTTCCATGACCAAATGAAGAAGGTAGCTGCCAATACCAAAACAAGTATCAACCTGGTCCAGAAACTGGAGAGCATCAGCACCAGTGATACGGATATCAACGATTGCCCTCATGTGCCCTCTCGCGGAGTACTGTGCACCAGTATGGACCAGAAGTAGTCACACGCGACTTGTTGATGTCCAACTGAACACCGCAATGTGGTTTATTACTGGAACTCTCAAGTCAACACAACACCCTGCCTGCCTATGCTGTCACAAATATCTCCCCCACCCATCTGCTGCTTTGCTTCAACCATCCAGGAAGTCCGGCGAATCAAGGAAAACAGTCGCATTTCCATTCATTAGGACATCAATGTTCCTCGGCATCGCTTGAACTAACGCAAGCCCTTTACCTTCAAAAATGTGAGTTCAACCCCGATGAAGCTTGGAGAGCTGAATTGAGTTCAACATAACTCTCAAAAATGTTATGAAAGACAACGCACAAGATCCCTGGGTTTGATCTTCCATGAAGCTAATGGTCCACCCTAAACCGCTACCACACAAACCATGGCAGATAGGTATACCTGATGCACAAATGGAAATAAACTCTCCAGTGTGTGACTTTGGTCATTCAGAATGGGCCACTGTGATACACACTGCTCTTCCTTATGTGGCTAACTTGGCCACCTGAATGTTAAATTGTAGTTGTTGCTTTGCATCTATATCAGCCATACGAAAAAAATGTATGTACAAGTGTGTCTGGGGACACAAAGTTTGCAATGCGTGGTGATGGCCATCCATCCGCACGTGTGCTGGTGCCGGCTTCAATCGTTGCAATTCGCTAACAGCAATTGTCCCAAAATTTGTTAGAGGCTATATGGGAGTTATTTGTCTTCGTCTTGTGTGTCATGGGTACCACATAAAGAGTGTGAGTGTGTAAGTGGTTACCCACATACAAAAAAAATCTGTAAAGGAGGTTGTTGCGTGTCTTGACATTTTCTTCCGTTTTCTTTAGATGATCCTGAAATGTCAGTGTTCAGTCTAGCTTCACGCAGAGGCAGGACACCACTGCAACGGTATACTGCTCCCATGTTGTTGTGGCCCATCAATTATCGCATATCCCTGCCTATGAACATAAATCATGTTTAAATGGGATCATCAGTACTGTCCGGTTGTGAGACATTATCCCCACAATTGTGCAAAAGGACCTGGCTCGCACGGAGGTTTAACGACGCTGAACACAGATCCGCGCCACATATCAATGCAGGCACCAGAGCAGATGTGTGGTGAATGAGAGGCTTCATCCGATACTGGGCTCCACACACTAACAAAACACACTTGCTGCAAGCATTCTAATAACAACAAATTATCAGTCAAGTGGCAATTAGAATATTATAGAACTAAGTAGAAAACCATTCATTTTATATCACTACAAGATGTCAATTCAGGAACTCCAAAAGTAAAAATATATCACAATCATATTATATTCTTAACGCTTTCGGTAAAGTCACGTTGAAGGGAACCAATAAAATAATATATAAAACAATTAAAAAAAATTGATTTAAAGCTTTCGTGACTGCAGTAATTCATATTCTTAGCTCTTTCGGTAAAGTCACGTTGAAGGGAAACAACAAAATAATAAAATATATATAAAACAATAAAAATTATCACGACGTTTCGACCATAACACAAACGGTCGTTTGTTACTCGATGGTAGCTATACAAAAATAAAAAGAGATCCCACCAACAGCCTCGTCACACAAACCAACAAAATAATTTCTGACTCAACCGCATTAATTGATCAATCTAAACAGTTTTCGTTGAAACCTTCTGCTGCCAGGCCACCAAGATTTTTCGGCTTACCAAAAATACATAAAGTAGATACACCCCTTCGTCCCATCATCTCTACTATCAACTCCCCCACCTACAAACTGGCTCGTTTTTTGTCTGAAATCCTGCGTCCTTTCACTGGAAAAACCACCTCTGCGGTACAAAATTCTACTCACCTGGTATCGGCAATCAAGGGTATTTCCCTGTCCCCAGACGACCTGCTTGTCAGTTTTGATGTAGTTTCCTTATTCACCAAAGTTCCTGTACCTGACACCATCGCAGTCATTGAAGACTTGGTTCATCAAGGACTAAACACTGAGGTACCCCCCTGGTGAGACACTGCTTAATCAATACATACTTCACTTGGAATGGAACTTCCTACAGAGGGCACCCCAATGGGCTCCCCCCTATCTCCGGTTATAGCTAACATTTTCATGGAGAAATTTGAGACTGACGCCATCCAGACTGCCACTCTGCGCCCAACCTTATGGAAGAGGTACGTGGATGACACTTTTGTCATCTGGCCACATGGCCGGCCTGCTCTAGACCAATTCTTCGACCACATTAATTCCATACACCCAGCCATCAGATTTACCATGGGATTTTTTTATTGTTTTATATATATTTATTATTTTATTGTTTCCCTTCAACGTGACTTTACCGGAAGAGCTAAGAATATGAATTACTGCAGTCACGAAAGCTTTAAATCAAAATCATATAATTCTAAACGATCAAAAAAGGCATCCCTACTACCTTGCAATGAGACAATATTTCACTACTGCACTGAATTACACATTTACTGAGAGCCTATCTCTGACTGGATGATGCCTACAGCTGCATGCGTTCTTGTAAAGAGGAGCCGTGAATACAGTAAATGCTTAGGAGTGTCTTAGTCTCAAGCTCCTGGTTAAACTACACAGAATCAAAGTCTAGAAGTGTTGCTGGTTTCTTCGCATCACTCAAGTAGTCCACCCATACCTCTACATCCACAAACTGCTGGGGGTCACCTCGCTCTCCCTCGGCGTCTGAATTCTCCTCCTGCTTTACACAGCCTCCATTGACCTGGATGTCCAGCACTGGAGTCAAATTTTCATCTTCACATTTAATCTTCACTTCTGGCCAAGGTGTGAAACTGGGATTTTCTTCTGCTTCTTGTTTCACGAGAGAAGAGCTCTTTGCAACACTTTGACTTGCACAAGTCGATTTCACCTTCCTCTTCTTGTGGATCTTCTCATGTTTGGTTCGAACTTCTGACCGTGCAAATGCCTTCCCACACACAGTGCACTTGAAAGGCTTTTCACCCGTGTGTATTCGCTGATGTTTGACAAGATCTCCCGATTGTGCAAATGCCGTCCCACATACAGTGCACTTGAATGGCTTCTCGCCTGTGTGCGTTCTTCGGTGGTTGGTAAGATGTATTGACTGTGGAAATGCCTTCCCACACACAGTGCATTTAAATGGCTTCTCGCCTGTGTGTATTCTCTGGTGCCTTTGAAGAGATTCAAAACGTTTAAATGACTTCCCACACTCGGTGCAATTGAAGGGCTTCTCATCCATGTGTGTTGTCTGGTGTCTGTAAAGATGTGATGACTTTGCATACGTTTTTCCACACAGAGCACACTTTATGGGTGTTTCACCCCTGTGTGTTTGCTGATGTTTGAGTATTTGGTTTAATTGTGCAAATGCCTTCTCACACATAGTGCACTTGAAGGGCTTCTCCCCCGTGTGTGTTCTCTGGTGCTTCTTCATGCAGACATTGTGGATCCGTGCTGTATGAACATTGGTGCCCATTAATGCCAGGCTGGCGAGTATATCCACTCCATGTGCTGGCTTCTGCAGTGCGGCAGAGGAACTGGAAGATGCAGATAGAAAACAGGTTACACAAACTACATATCAGCAGTGGCACAGACTTGCAGTGATATGCACACACAGCACATACACAAAATCACCCATATAGGCTGAACAGACTGTTGAGGCAACTGCTATTAGCGATCACCTATGAAAGCTGACACTGAACTTGAGGGGGTGGTGTGGATAGCACCACGCTCGGTTGCCATCGCCTCCCCAGTGTGTTAGGTAAACAATTATGGCTGAGTAGATGTAGGGGAGGCCCATGATCAGTTCAGATATTCACAACAAAAGTTGGTCATGAGGGAATCGACGCCGGTCCCTGAATTTGTAGTATAGTACACAACTCCACGACCGCTCCTCATATTACACATACAAGCTAAAGATCCCCCGTGTAGCCTTCACAGACTCTAGGAGAAAGAGCTATTAGTGAGCACCTATGAAGGCTGGCTCAGCACACGTGATGGTAGCACCACGCCTGGCCGCCTTTGTCTCCCAAGTGACGATGTTTACACACAGCACCAGGTACGAATTTGAGACAATCGAACTCGGTGAGGCCCAGAACTGATTCAGATAATCGTCACTGGTGTTGACCGTGAGCGGGAATGTAAACCGGGCTGCCGGGGTCGTAGCGTAGTGTGCCAATGCGACATCCCTCCCATACAGAAACGTGGACACCATCTACACATGCACAAACGTAAAGATCCCTCAATAAGTCACGTCGACTTTTCTGATAAATGTAGCTATTGACAACAGCATTTATTTATTTAGCTTATTTATTTGGTATAGCCCTGTGAACCATTCGGCTCTTGAATCGGGTGTAACCACAACAAAAAAAAAACACGAACAAGAAAACATCTTAAAGTGACTATGTGACTGTGCAAACAGAAAATCCATGAAAAAACCAGCAAAATATTCCTGAAAAAGCACCGTACACCAACGCTGTGTGCAAAAATCCCAGTGGGATGCAAGTCAAACAACAACAACCACAAGAAAAACTTAGATTAAGGCCATCAGTCTAACTCCATACTACAACAAAACAAACATGTCCAAACCAAAAAACGTTTTTGAAATCACCAAAAAATAAAGCCATAATTGCAATGTAACAGTGATCATAGGGACTGTGACCGAATTTTTTACAATCAACTACATAAATAACATGTAACACCAAACCCTAGAGCCATAGCTGGCTGGATGAGTTACTCCACAACAACAGAAGCATCAGTCGGAGTATCAAATTTTTCAATGCACCTTTAAGATCAGCACGCTAAATCAAAATATAGATAATACTTTGCAGCGTCATCCAGAGCGAAACATTGTATTACACACACACTACATAACTAGACACACACTACACACACACTACATAACTAGACACACTACATAACTAGACACACTACACTCCACTCACTACACACACACTACATAACTAGACACACTACACACACTACACACTACATAACTAGACACACACTGCAGACACACTACACTCACTACACACACTACACTCACTACACACACTCACTACACACACTACATTCACTACACACACACTCACTACACACTCACTACACACTGCACACACACACTCACTAGACACACACTCGACGGGATGACGATTCAATGGGACGAGGACAGCTCACACTCTACCTGCTCCGCGTGCGTGAAGACAGAGGAGGCGCCATGGCCGAAGGCGGCGGATTCCTCTCCCAGAGACGACGAAGAGAACTGGCACGAAAGACAACGGGAGTGTTTGTGGTATGCACGATGCTAACACACACAGGGCACTACTCACAGTACACACACACATATATATATAAAACCACTGTTCACCACGGTGCTAACACACAGCACACTACTCACAGTACACACACATATATATCACCGCTGTTCACCACGGTGATTGTGCCATGCTAAGCGCACTTTGAGGCTACGTGCGTCGAAGGTCCGCTGGCAGGTCACGGAACAGACCCAGGTGCCACGGGTTGACGGTGTGGGATGACTGGCAGATGCACCACCTGTGCTCCCCACTGTGCCAAGTTTATGCGTTTTAGTCACCTGACGCTTTCCTCGTTGTTGTGAGCGTCGCTCCTCTGCCCTCTGGCAATTCCAATCAACTCCACATCCTTCAGTGCCGTGCCCGTTCACCCCCCTTTTATCCGGCACAGTCACAAGGCAGATGCTCACCCTCCCACTCATTCAATTCACCCACACACCATGAATCAACTCACCCACTCAAATTAACTCACCCAAGCACTCACTCATCTACTTACGATCTCACTCACTCACCCAATCACTCACTCATCCACTTACGATCTCACTCACTCACCCAAGCACTCACTCATCCACTTACGATCTCACTCACTCACCCAAGCACTCACTCATCCACTTTACGATCTCACTCACTCACCCAAGCACTCACTCATCCACTTACGATCTCACTCACTCACCCACTCACCCAAGCACTCACTCATCCACTTACAATCTCACTCACTCACTCACCCAAGCACTCACTCATCCACTTACGATCTCACTCACTCACCCACGCACTCACTCATCCACTTACGATCTCACTCACTCACCCCCGCACTCACTCATCCACTTACGATCTCACTCACCCAAGCACTCACTCATCCACTTACGATCCCACTCACTCACCCACGCACTCACTCATCCACTTACGATCTCACTCACTCACCCACGCACTCACTCATCCACTTACGATCTCACTCACCCCCGCACTCACTCATCCACTTACGATCTCACTCACTCACCCAAGTACTCACTCATCCACTTACGATCTCACTCACTCACCCAAGCACTCACTCATCCACTTACGATCTCACTCACCCAAGCACTCACTCATCCACTTACGATCCCACTCACTCACCCACGCACTCACTCATCCACTTACGATCTCACTCACTCACCCCCGCACTCACTCATCCACTTACGATCTCACTCACTCACCTAAGTACTCACTCATCCACTTACGATCTCACTCACTCACCCAAGTACTCACTCATCCACTTACGATCTCACTCACTCACCCAAGCACTCACCCAAGCACTCACTCATCCACTAACGATCTTACTCACCAACTCAACCCCGGAAACCACCCAGCCGCTCACTCACCCACACATCCACTCACCCACTCACTTTGCCCACACTCACTCAGCAGTGGATAGACCATGGCGCATTCTAATCACAACTATATATCTACACTACTTATTCAAACCAACGATGCCTATGCACATTATACATTATAGTCACCGATACTAACCCCTTCTGTGCCTTCTAATCGCGTTCCCAACCGGGCTCGGGCACCACGGCCCCGAGCGGGGGGATCTAGGAAACACCGTGGCTTGGGCCTAGTACCTCGGTCTCCGAGATCTCCGAGGCAGGAAAAACCGAGGCGAGCTGCCCAGACCCGCGCGCAGGGGATGCGAGGTCGAAGGCGGGAAACCTCGCGGTTGTATGAAAAAAAAGCGGGGCTGAACGTCAGAATATTCCAGACGAAAAACGACAATCGCAAAGCCTGGACGCAACCCGGATCCAGTGACGGCGTAATCAATGTCAACGATTCCAGGGTCGAATCATCTTTCTAGATTTAAAGTTTTCGTGACTGCATGGATCGATTCAGTTGCTTCAATTGATTCAGCTGCTTCAATCGATTCAGTTGCTCCAATCGATTCAGTTGCTTGAATCGACTCAGATGCTTCAATCGATTCCATTGCTTCAATCGATTCCGTTGCTTCAATCAATTTCCGCGCCAGAAAGGGGTCTGTGGGTGTGATGACCACGCCCGGCCGCCTTTGTCTTCCCCAGTGCTGATATTTACACGTCATTCCACATACTCATTGAGGATGAGTAAAGCTAGGGGGAGGCTCATGACCGGTTAAGGATATTCGCTGATGGTGGCCGTGGTCGGGAATGGAGCTCCGGCGCTTCGGTGGTGAGAAATCCTCATCGCGGTTGTGGTTTATGGAGGTGGAGCCTCTCTCTCTCGTAGGGATGTCAATTGAGTAGCAGCGAGCATGGAAGCGATGTCCAGGTTGGAACTTTACAACGCGGGGCTTTGCCTCCTGCCCTCGCCTGATCGCGTTTGCTTTAATTTTCTTGCTTAGTTGAGCAATCTTTGGGAAGAACGTAATCAACCAGGCTATGCGTTAATTGTGTGTTGACCGACTCTCTCTGTTGCGTTGCGTTGCATTTCTTAATTCTACTCAGTTTGTTTGATTAAGTGTGCTTTCTCTCTCTGTGTCCTCGTGTTGTCGCGCTATTATTTCCTGCAGTCACCAAAGCTCCAAATCTCTCATTGACACAAGGCCGTAATTATAATTATATTATATATTGGGGGACATACATCCTCCTTCTAATAATCAAACATGCTCAAAATGTCCCCCCCAATATATTGCTTTTAAAAATATATATTTTAAAGTAATTATTGCGATACTATGTTAATAAAAAGAACAATTTGCTAAACCTTGGCCACAAAATCTGGACTTGTCTTCATATAACAATGCATAGATTTCTGTATATATGATTGCGTTGTACTTTATGAATCCCTAATCTCTGCCATTACATACTCTGAAACAAGAAAAGGTAAAAAAGAAAAAAAACAGAGCAATGTAATACAATACACTCTTAGACACTATTGTATCAAATAAAAGAAAATCAATCCCATGTGTTAGTGACATTTTTAAATATTTTATGCAGGAAATGGCAGGAAATTCGTTTTCATATTTACTTTTTTTTCTGTGGGGGGACCCCAGACTCCTTGGAAGATTTTGTCCCTCCCAATGTTGACTCCATGGCTACGGCCTTGCATTGACATGCTAATTATCTACCCCCTCCTCTCTCTCTGCCCCCCTCTTTCTCTATTTAAGGCCTCGACACAGAGGCGTAGTTTCTCTGTGTGCCTATGTGTGTATCTCTCTCTGTGTCTCTGTGTTATCTCTCTCTGTCTATGTGTCTCCGTGTCTTGTGTTTTGTCTCTCAAATTGAGCAATCTTTGGAAGAACGTTATCAACCAGGTGGGGTGTTGACTGTTATGTTAGCCGACTCTCTGTTGCATTACATTTCTAATTTTACTAGGTTTGTTTTCTCTTTCATTTGTACCTGATGATGATTGCTTGTGTTGCAATCAAAACGTCGTATGCTATTTGCACACAGCGTTGGTGTACGGTGCTTTTTGTGGAATATTTAGCTGTTTTTCCCTGGATTTTATGTTTGCACAGTCAAAGTCACTTTAAGATGTTTTCTTGTTCATGTTTTTTTTTGTTGCGGTTGCACCCGATTCAAGAGCCGAATGGCTCACAGGGCTATACCAAATAAATGAAATGAAACTGAAACTATGTCGTCTCCATCGCCTGGTATACAAGAGGTCGTGGGTTCGATACTGAACCTGACGCTTGTTGTATATTTGAAGTTTGCGTCTCTCCGCCTCTCCCTGTGGTCGCGTGGATTTTCCTCCAGGTCCTCCTGTTTTCCCTTCACATTTGCTACAATAATGAGCCAAGAATGTCTGTGTGTCCCGCGCGTGACGTCACTCCACGTCGGCCAGCCCCCCTCAATCATGAACAGGTGACGCCCCCCCCCCTCATTAATAATGAGCCTGTGACATCACTCCACATGTAGCACCCCCCCCCCATTAATAATCATGAGCAGGTGACGTCATTCCACATCGAACTGCTCCCCTCAATAATCATGAAGAGATGACGTCTTCCAAATGGACACCCCCCCCCTCCGATTAATAATTCGCGGGTGACGTCACTCCACATGGGGGGGCAAGGCGCCTCCTCCCCTATCCTCAGTGTCAATTTCAAACCCTCACTACAAAGGCAAAACCCTCACGCCACGCGATCTCTGTCAAGCTGTTGAGACATAGAAGTAAAAAGGACGTCATGATGAACAAGGGATTGTAACCTTTAAATGAAATAGGTCTATGTCACCGCTGCCTTACAAATTGCACACGAATGGATGCAATGAATATCACGTCGCGGTCTGCTTGCTAGTTTCAGATTTACTGAAATACACCTGTCCTTGGACGGGCAAAAGGCTAGTTACTAATATAATAAGCCTAGAATGTGTGCGTGTGTGTCCCGCGTGTGACGTCACTCCACATGAGCCCCCCCCCTATTAATAATCATGAGCGGGTGACATCACTCCACATGCCGAACCCCTCCCCAATTACCATGAGGGGGTGACGTCAGTCCACATGGGGCAACCCCCCCCCCCCCCGTCATTAATAATCATGAGTTGAACAATTTTTCTATTTAATATTTGTGATTTACTGCAAAATACACCCATCCTTAGATGGGGAAACAAGCTAGTTTATAAATATGAATTCAGAGTATTTGGCTGCAATAAATGTCCACATCATGATAAGTGTAGTCAGTCAGCCCTTTCACTCTCCTCTCGGGACAGGTTAGCTAAATCTAATCTATATAATTCATACTCTTTGGTTCTATTGGGTAAAGTCACGTAGGTAAAAAATAAAATAACAAAAATCACGACGTTTGGGCCACAACACAAGCGGCCTTCATCAGGTGAAGGGACGAGACTGTCTGGAGGACAGCGCTGATAGAATAGAACCAAAGAGTACGGATCCTTGCAGTCACGAAAGCTTTAAATCTAGAGCTATATAATTCATTTTTTGTCTGTCCGTCTGTTCGTCTGTCCGTCTGTGTACGCTCGCTTGCGGGAGATTTGGCTCTCGGACCGCGGGGTTCGCGTGGAAAATTTTTTGCCGGGCGGCACGCCCCGGGCCCCCCGCTTGGCATAGGCTATTCCGTTTTCCCGTCCGTCGCCTTTAAAGTGGTTCAATTAACGTTTTGGCGCGATTCATCTTTATTTATTTATTTACTTTTACCGACCGGCTCGCTGCTGCGCATGCGCGAAACGCCGGCGCGAGTTGTTGCCCCTGGCAACGCACAGACGCCGTCGCCGCAGGGTGGACGCCATTGCTCATTAAAAATGCAAACAAATTTACACGCGACGCTGAGGTAAATTCATCAAAGTGTCACGTCCTCTTCTCTCCACCCCAATGTGTGCACTATCTATTATAGGCTCGGTAGATACTAAAATTATAGCGATTAAATTGGATTCTTGTAGCGCGGGGGGGGGGGGGGTAGCGACAAAGGCCGCAGCCACGGCCGGCCGGGCAGTCTAGGCGAGGCCGGAGGCTTTGCACGGGACTAGGCCTCGTCACGGCAAATCTGTCAGGTGAGTACTTTGTGCTATAGAGTCGATATATACTGCTACTAGCGGGGAAATATATATTTTAAAACGTCTTAAAGCGTAGAAATATAACTTACAAATGAATAAATAACTCATTCTTATAAAATAAAAACGCGAGCGCGCCAAGATTCGATTCTTTAAATCGCGCAAAGGAATCGAAGGTTGTAGATTACTTTTGAATCGGCCTATTCCCATTTACAAAACTTGCTTGCATGTCGCCAAGCATGCTTAACATTTCGAACAGACACACGCATTCACAAATTTACCTTTCACATTTAAGATACATAACGTCAGCATGTACTGCTGTCTTCATAGCAGGTACCACCATCACAGTATGTACTGCTGTCATCATAGCAGGTACCACCACCACAGTATGTACTGCTGTCATCATGGCAGGTACCATCACCACCACATTATGTACTGCTGTAATAGCAGTTATCAACATCACAGTATGTACTGCTGTCATCATAGCAGGTGCCACCACAATATGTACTGCTCTTATCATAGCAGGTACCACCACAGTCGTATGCACTGCTGTAATATAAGGTACCACCACAGCAGTATGTACTGCTGTAATCATAGCAGGATACCACCATAGTCAGCATGCAATGCTGTAGTCATAGCAGAATACCACCACAGTCAGCATGCAATGCTGTGGTCATACAAGGAAACCACCACAGTCAACATGCAATGCTGTAGTGATAGCAGGAACTATCACAGTCGGTAAGCACTGCTGTAGTGATATCAGGAACTATAACAGTTGGTATGCACTGCTGTAGTCATTGCAGGTACCACCACAGTCAGTATGTACTGCTCTCATCATAGCAGGTACCACCAAAGTATGTACCGCTCTCACCATAACAGGTACCACCACAGTATGTACTGCTGTCATCATAGCAGGTACCACCACAGTATGTACTGCTGTCATAATAGCAGTTACCACCACCACAGTATGTACTGCTGTCATCATAGCAGATACCACCAAAGTATGTACTGCTGTCATCATAGCAGGTACCACCACAGTATGTACTGCTGTCATAATAGCAGGTACCACCACCACAGTATGTACTGCTGTCATCATACCAGGTACCACCACAGTATGTACTGCTGTCATCATAGCAGGTACCACCACCACAGTATGTACTGCTGTCATCATAGCAGGTACCACCACCACAGTATGTACTGCTGTCATCATAGCAGGTACCACCACAGTATGTACTGCTGTCATCATAGCAGGTACCATCACCACAGTATGTACTGCTGTCATAGCAGGTACCACCACAGTATGTACTGCTGTCATAGCAGTTACCACCACCACAGTATGTACTGCTGTCATCATAGCAGGTACCACCACAGTATGTACTGCTGTCATC